TGGTATCAGCCTGGTACTAGGGCAAGGCCACGAGGGACCTGCATGACCTTGAGAGTGAGTAACTCCTTAAATACTGCACACTACGTGCCTCACTCACCTCATTCTAGTCCCGGCCCCATCATGTAGTTAGTTAGTTAGTTAGTCAGTCAGTTAGTTAGTTAGTTAGTTAGTTAGTTAGTTAGTAGACAGCAGACTCTTGGGTTTGTCTAAAGAGAGAAGGAAAAGCAAATGAGGCAGAAAAGAGTCAAGATGCTGGAAAGAAAGGTGATAAGCATCAGAGTAGGATCTTCAGAGAGTGACAAGATGAGTTAGGGGACAAGGGCCAGGAGGGAGAAACATGCCCACCTGACAAGATAATAACTTTGGAAACAAACTTAGGGTTGGAGCAAGGAAGACAGAGAAGAGAAATGGAATTTCATGGAGGTAAAAATGTTGAGCGGCATCTGAGGGACCCTGCATTTGACACATGAACTCCTTTTGTACGACACACACCATACTTGTACTATAATAATGTAATATACGCTTTGAAGATGGGCAAATATGGTGAATGAAGGAATGAATGAATATACCATGAAATAGAATGGTAAATAAATAAATACATGCATATTTTCTTTTAACTACTTTGTACTTTGTGCACAAAAGGATCTGAAAACAGGAAAGTGAGGGCCCCTGTAAAGATTCGGGGCTAGCAAATGGACCCAATCACCCATCGCCTACCTCCCAAAGGAGAAAAGACACATGAAAAAGATGGCGCTGGCAAAAGCTTCAGAGTCAAAATCACCTCCCAGGATGTCAATCACGCGACCAGAATAGTAAGGGATTAATGTCTCACCTGAAAGAACATGAAGGATAACAGCTGAACGCACTGGTGCCAAAGGCCTTTTCCCCACCTCCTCTTCCCAATACTGTCTCTCCTGACTCACCCCACACGGCAATCACAAGGAAGAAGAAGGCAGCAGCCAGGAAAGGCAGGTCAGGCCTGGAGAGCTTCAGCAGCCTCCACATCAAGGCCTTGTTGTTCTCCTGGCCTTGCTCCCCGTCCTGGGCTCTGGGAGGGCTCAGCACCGCCCACACTGCCCAGCTTAGCCCTGCAGCCCCATACCCCACCAGCAGCCAGCTCCAAGGGGCTGCAGCCACTCTGAGTGGGGGAGCACTCAAGGCCCCTGGGACCAGGGCCCTCAGAGAGAGGAACAGGGGGGTCACTAGGCAGAGTAGGGGCAGCAGTGTTCCCACAAACCCCAGCAGCCCTCCCAGCTTTAGCATCCCCCACAGCCCTCCAAGTCGCAGGGTCCCCTCCAGCCATAGGCCTGGAAGCCCTGGGGGAAGCAGAGTCCCCAGGGTACCCCGAAGCAGCCAGAGTACAGCCGAGTCCGCCAGCAGCAGTAAGGCCCAGGGTCTCAGGTCAGGGAGCCGCATGGTGGGATCTACCGGATGTAAAGTGAGAAATTATAGAAGTGGAGTCCCAATCCTCGACCCTGTCCTCCCCATCCCCACTCCGCCCCACCCGTCCATAGGCTTCTTATTTTATCCGATCCTGTCTTGAAAGATCCCCTGGGTACCCCGTGCCCCACGACGGAAGGCACTCTGCCTGTCAGAGGAAACTGGGGGACCTGGCCTCCAGGTGCTTCCATCCTTAAAAAATAAAACCCCGTGACCCCCTCCACCACCCGCCCCTGCCAGCTGCAGGCAGAGTTCCAAAGAGCCGGGCAGTCGCTGCCCGGTTCCCCGGTTCCCTTATACCCTCGGGTTTCAGGGGGACAGGAAGCAGGACCTGGGGAGAGGGGGCGGGTTCGGATGCTTCCCTGTTAGCGCTCCAGGTTTTCATCCGCACGAACTCACCAGCGGCGGCTTCGGGACTGCAGCTCCGGAGGTCTTTCCGTGAAGCGCTGCTGACTGAGCTCTGAAATCCACTCCCGGGGCCTCAACTTCGTTTCCCACTTTGGTCCGCTAGCGACGCTTTCCAAGCGAGGGCGTCTCGGCGCCCGCCGCTTTCGCTTTCACTTCCCGGGCCAAGGCCCTGGTTCTCCGCCGGGCGGCCAGCAGGGGGCGCGCGACGCCTGCAGAACGCCAGCCCGGTCCCCGACTCCCGCCCGCCTTTACCAGGCCCCCAGCGAGTCTCTCAACCGTATGGACAGTTACTCTATAATAGAAAGCTACGGCATTAAAAAAAAATAAATGTCGCAAAGTAAAATAAAGCTGTGTCAAAGATTGGGATACTTTGTAATTAGAAAACCGCTGGATTGTCTTACCTCAAGCTTTGGACCTCAAGCTCTGAACCTGTTTTGAGAACTGCTCTGTCCGCCCAACTCAAGCTCCCGTTTTAGGGTGTTTGGGTAAAAACAGCCAAGTTCTGAGCGAGAAATACACAGGACTTCTTGTAAATAGAAGACTCCAGCCACTTGTACCAGGGCCTAAGGAGGACCACTTACAGATTTTGAGCTGAAAAGACCCTGACCCTTGATCTTCATCTGTCCTTCTCAACACAGCGCCTTGACTAGAGCGCGTGTTCAGATGCCTGTAAATTGGTGTTCCAAATTATGTTGGAGCACCTTTGGCATATGAGGGAATGGACTTGGTTTCTTTGTCTAGTTTAACACTGATCAGGACAGTGATTGGGCTTCTATAGGTACTGCCTGATCCACAGCCTATCTATGGAGCTGCAGATTTGTTGATTACCGAAATAACTCTTCAGGGTGAACCTACCTCTCACACTCAAAATATCCACAAAGGGATGATCACTGGGATTCTGAATGACTCTTTTGAAACGTTATTAGTATGACTACCAATGAGTCACTTCAAATTGAAAATAATGGAGTTTGGGGGGAAAATTTGAAGTAGGGGGTTACTACATGTTCTCGAACCCCATCCATTCTGGGGTTGTTGTTTTTTTAAAGATTTTTATTGGGGAATTGAGGGCTAGGAACAGCACTGGGGAATTGGGGGAAGGGGAACAGACAAGTTGCTGTCNAAAAAAAAACCCACATGAGCTCATTTATATGTAGAATATAAAAAATAAAACACCAAATTCATAGGAAGAGATCTTAGGAGATAGGGAATAGAGAGATAGAGATCAGAGGGTAGGGAAACTGGATGAAGGTGGTCAAAAGGTACAAACATCCAGTTATGAGATAAGTAAGTACTAGGAATGTAATTTTTAAAAACAAACAGAAGATAACTGTTGGAGAAGGATATGGAGAAACTGACACCCTGTGTATTGATAGTAAGAATGTAAAACGGTGCAGACACTGTGGAGAACAGTATGGTGGCTCTTTAAAAAATTAAAAATGAAGTTACCATATTTCTGGTATGCAATCCTACCTCTGGGAACGTACGCAAAAGAATGAAAGCAAAGACTCAAACAGATATTTGCACACCCAGGCTCATAGCAGCATTATTCACAATAGCCAAAAGGTGGAAGCAACACAAGTGTCCATCACTACATGAATGGACAAATAAAACGTGCTCTTTGCATTGATGGAATATTATTCAGCCTTAAAAAGAAGGAAAATTCTGACACATGCTACCACATGGATGAACTTGGAAGATGTTATGCTAAGTGAAATAAGCCAGTCACAAAAAGACAAATGCCGCATGAACCCATTCATAGAATATCTAAAGTAATCAAGCTCACAGAGACAGACAGCAGAATGGTGGTTGCCAGGGGCTGACAGTAGGAGGAATGGGGAGTTATTGTTTAATGGGTACCAAGTTTCAGTTTGGGAAGATGAAAAAAGCTCTGCAGATGGATGGTAGTGATGGTTGCACAACAATATCCAAGTATTTAATGCCACTGAAATGGAACATTTAAAAATGGTTAAAATGGTAAATTTTATGTTATGCGTATTTTACCACAATTTTTTTAAAACACGGAAGGTGGAGCTAACATTGAGGCTCAGGTCTTCCTGACTGCAGGTTCCACTTTCTCTACACTCCTGCTGATTGTCAAGGAGGAAACTCTCTACCTAAGACCCTCTAAGACAGCATTTTAAATCTTTAGTGGGAAAGGTTATGTAGACTCTTTTGAGAATCTGATGAAAATTACCCTCTCCCCAGAAAAAAGTGCCCTCCCTCCAACACACACACACACACACACACACACACACACACACCTGCATAAAGTTCCAAGGGTCATGGGCCATCTGCGGCCTGTCAGAATTGCTGCTTTAAGGGCTGAGAAGACCAGCAGGAGGGCTCCCTACTGCCACACATACCTGATGGCGGACATTGTACACCTTTTCCGCTGCTATCATGAGAGGCACCTCAAGCAGAGACAGGAAGGTGAGTCGCGGCGACAGGCTGAGCATGAAGCTGTACAGTCCCACCACTTTCACCAGACTTCTCAGGAGCACGTTGGCATTGAGAGGAAGCCAGGAACTCATCAGTTTGGTATCTGAGTTCAGCCTTGAATTCAGCTCCCCTGGGAGGACAGAGCAGGTGAGGAAGCCATGTGTAATGCAGAACCCCCAGAGACTCTCTCCTGACCGTCCCTCTGGCACAGCCCCCTCCTCCGAATAGCCTCCCTCACTTGCGGAGACACCAGTGGAGGTTGCCCCCCTACCCGGGCCCGAAGAGAGAACAGAGCGAAGCAGCTCTGGGCCCTGGGCCCGCGGGTGCAGGCAAGGGGAGAGGCTGTGTGCGGGTGGAGGGTAACTGAGCGGCAATGGGCCCAGGGGAACCCCAAACCTGGGCTCCAGGCCCCACCTGTCTTAGTCTCCTGGAAGAAACCGAGGTCCTGGCGCAGGAGGGAGGAGAAAAGCTGCTCCCGGATCCGCAAATTGATTCTGGACATGATGAACACGAAGGAGCCGCCTCGGCAGCCTGCAGACAGGGAGCTGCGGGGCCGGGAGGGGACAGGAGGACGAAGGGGAGAAAGAGACAGAGAAGGAGGGAATCAGTGAGGGAAGCGAGGAGAAAGCACGGAAGGAAAAAAAATACAAAGATGGGCAAGAATACCATGAGAGGCAGGAGAGAAACAAACAAGAGGGAGAGAGGGGCAGGAATAAACAGAGGAAGAAAAAAGAGAACACAGTGAGCTAGACGTGAGAACAAAATCCTAACACGCACAAACTCACCAGTATTTATGAGGCTCACTCTGTACTAGACACAAGGGAAGAATACAATAGAAACGAAAAGATATTGGGAACCTGGCCTCCCTCCAGGCTTCCCGTCTGTCCCCCCCTCAAAGTCCTTCCTAGTCCCAGATACTTCATTGTGGGAACTGCAGCAATTAACTCCCTACCACCCAGTCTCCGGAGCCCTCGAGTCAGGCCATTCCCCCATCTCTAGCGTCCCTGGAGCTGGAGAACTCCTCTTAGACCAACCAGATTTTTACAATAAAACGTGAAGGAAACTTGAAAGCATGGAAGCAGGTATTTTACAAAATACGGGTTTCTAGTGCAAATCTAGTTACCATGTTTAAAAGGCTGTTGGGATATAGTCAGACATCAAATGATGAGCGTTTGGACTTTGGTGATCATAGTGAGAACGGAGAGAACAGGAGACACATTTTGAAAGTGGAAAATGACAGGGCTAGTTGTGAACATGAGAAAGGCATCAACAACGCTGATACTTGGGGCCCAGGATACTGATGGCTTCCTGAAGGAGAACAGAAAGAGCCACCTGCAAGGGAGCCACCAGGTGGGACTGCGATGTATTTGGAGCTCTGGGGATGTGGAGTGTGAGATGAGAGTGGGTTATCCAGTGGAAATGTCAAGGAGCCAACTGGATTACAAGACTGAAGCTGGGCATGGAGATATGGATCTTGGAGTCACCTGCAGAGATGAACTGAGTCAGCTCAATCGGGAAAATGTTCTTAAAGATCAAAGAACTGAATCACAAGAAAAGTCCATATTTAAGGGTCCAGAAGAGGAAAGCTCTCCAGAGGAGGAAGAGTGGATGTAAAAAG